CTAGTTTTCTTTCTTTATGCTAAGCTAACTGTCTGCCGACTGCAGCTTCATATTTAGCATACAGATATTTGAGAAGTATCAATCTTCTCGTCTAGCTCAGAGCAAGAAAGCAAATAAGCGTATTTCCCAGAATGTTACACAATTTGAACATGTTATTGCTCTCTTAGTATTTGGGGGTTTTCTTGATGTTGTCATACACTATGTGGCCATCAGCACTCTTGAAATGTTTGTGCAAACTTTTAATGTATCCCTGCTGGTCACATTAACAGTGTTTGCAACCAAGTACGACTCCTCTATGAAAGTGAAGTGGAAAGTCAAGCTGCCAGATGCATGACAGGCACTAACACCATTAACACGTGTATACTCCACCCGGGAGACGGTTAAAAGTAAACCTCAACTGACGTGCTAATAAGTGATTCCACCACACAGTGTCTTACAAGGACGCTTTTTACACATATCAGTCTGAATACCACAGGCAGTAAAGTCTCATGGAATAGTGGCCTATATGTTAGTGATGTTACCATTCACTGTAGCCTGCAGGAATGTGAAGGTGTTTATTGTGGTACTCGCATCAACTTCAGTGTTTCGCTTAAAAAGACTGGAGAGCCATAAATGTGACCACAGTTGTGTTTTATTGGACGCAGAGCGACGAAAAGAATATCTGGACAAACGCCTTGCTGCGTTTTCCACCTATTTTGTTTCAAATGAAAACATGCATGCTGACAGGGTGTCTCTTGGTAGTGAATACATATCGGCATTGAGGAAACAAGGTGTTACAATATTTTCTCAGCACACAGTTGTTTTGCTGGCCTGGGAACGCCTCGGGATCCCCCAGAATGAGCTGGAACATGTTGCCGGTGAGAGGGAGGTCTGGGTCGGCCTGCTTGACCTGCTGCCACCGCGACCCGACCCCGGATAAGCGGTGGAAAATGGATGGATGGATGGACAGTTGTTTTGCAGTGTTGGTCCCAATGACACACTTGTGAGATGGGGGTTTAAACTGATATTTTGTGAGCACACCCAAATACTTAAATCCCCTCTAAATTGTAGTTTCGTAAACATTCAAATATTTGTTAGTTTTTTTGCCCAGAAGATTGATACCTCCCTCATGTTTGTCAACTAAATATGAAGCTGGAGCTAGCAGGCGGTTAGCTTTAGCTTAGCACAAAAAATGGAAGAAGGGGAAGACAGCTAGACTAGCTATTTTATGAGTGCAAACACGCAACTTGTTGTTTTTACACTTGAGTTTTTGTACAGATCAAACAAATGTAAATTGTTAGCTTCAGAGGTGCTGGTAAGGGAATTTAGTTTTGTTTGTTCTAACAGAGAAAGGCTAGCTGTTTCACTTCCAGTCTTCATGCTAATTTAAGCAAACTAGCTGCTTGCTATCATATTTAGCATACAAACATGAGAGAGCTATCAATTATCTCATCTGACTTTCGGCAAGAAAGTAAATAATAGTATTTTCGCAAACTATTCCCTATTTGTTAATAAATAAGGTAAGCTCTAATATAAAATTACAATACTGCAACTCAATGTAGGCTAATATAAAAAAGTGATCAGCTTCATTACCCCTCGTAAAATTCAGTTGTAACTGATCCGTGCTGTGAATTTGAGACTCACCAGAGGTAAAACAATGTTTTTTCTTGGTAATAAATACAACAGAGGTACTCAAGAACTTTCTTGGCAAAGCGCGTGATAAGAGAGAAATAATCAGGGACGTTCAGTAGCAAAAAAACATAAAAGCAAAATGATTTACTATCAGCAAGTAGTTGCTCTTGGCTCCCGCCTGGCTAAAGAAATCAGAAACGGGGATGTTTCAGGCTGTTAGGATTGAAAGACTGTGTTTCACAGTGGGCCTCTAATTTCCCTGTCTGTTGCTCTCTGAAGAAACATTGCCTTTGACCAGCTTTTATTTGCTTCAATGAAAAAAGGCAATATTCCAAAACTAAAATGAAAAATAAGTTCTACATATAATGCACGGACCTCAAACAGAGAGTGTGCATGCAATATAATATTACTCTAAATTTCTATTTATTCTGCTTCTTAAAATAGTCCGAGATACTGTAGTTTCATTTCAGCTGGCATTGTGAGAGAAAGACCGTTTCTTCTTCCACAGATGAGGCCCATAGGTATTCAATCATAAAACACTCCCCTGCCCGTTGGTATAATTTCACTTTGAGCTCAGGCCTTGGTCAAAAAAGATGGAGATGTGCAGGGACAGCTGTTGGAAGGGAATAACATGCAGTGGATCAACTTTATAGGTACAAGCAGAGCTTTGGAAACCTGAAAACACAGAGTCAGTCCTCATGACACATTGCAGATATTGTGCTTGTTTTTCCCACTCAAAAGCTCAAGAGAAACACTGCATTGCATTTGTTTTGGCAGGAGTAGTTGAGCACAGCCCGACTGGTGCACTTCAGTGAGTCAAACCTATCTGGCACTGTAAAACACATCCAGAGAGACACACTGGACGACGAGTAGCAACTGATATTTGTATTTGGGAGCAGCTTCACATGAACAACATAGATACTCACACACATGCTGCAAATTTAAAACTCATGTATTATCACTAAAATAAGGTCATGAAGCCAACATTGATTGTCCTGTGAATATTCTCTGTTCGCAATTTCATTGCCATCAAGAAAACTGATTCAAGTTACATTTAGGTGAGTCCTTTCCTTCTCTCTTGCAGACACGGCGGACTATGCTTCAAAATGTGACAGGTATGTGTAATTATTTATCGCTTAATCTGCAATCGAATTGCATGTTTTTTTTTGCATTCTTTCATCAGCTTGAAAAGTAATACTCGATATAATCCCCCTCTTGAAACTGAACCACCACCTCTAATTCATCCACATTATTCTGGCTGTATATCAGAAGGAGAAGCAAATCCACTATTTCTGCTTTGGATTTCTGAGATTGCTCTTTGGCTGATTTGGCTCTTTGTCTTTTTTTCATATAATCACAGGGAGCAGCAGAGAGGAGGCGATCAGACCTGGAGGGAGATCCACGCCGCCGTGGCTCTGACCAACTTGGCCCAGGGGCAGAGCTGCACAGCGGACCAGAGCAGCGCGACGGTGCCCGGATCTGGCACGGGGCAGAGCTGCACCCGAGGGCCCTTCTCGGGTACGAGGACCACTATCATGGACAGGATGTTTGTCGCAGGACCCACCGCCGCTCTGAGGCAGAGCTGCACCGCGGGGCCCACTCTCACCAGCCGCATCATCCAGAAGTCCTCTCATATCTCGGAGGTCCAGACTGTTAACGTGGCCCTGGCAAACAGTGTGTAGGCATGTCACTGGAGCATCTGGTCTATCGTTCCTTAGAATACCAGATGCTTAAGTGCCTTGCAGCCTCGGTTATTTTGTAATTCTGATCAACTTTGACATTTTAAATCTTTTTGACATAGTTAAATAGAAAAACTAACCTAATGCAGTTTAGTATTTTCTACTGTTTTTGCCATGTTTCCAATGTCTTCCTATTGTCGTCTGTTGCAGTAAGTTATATTAACTTCCATGAGACTGGATTATCATCCAATGTTTAAATTTGACAGCAGCTATTTGAATAAACCCAATGTGAAATCTTTTGACCAGTCATTTGCTTTAAATCATCACTTTGCAGTGGCTGGAGCTGCATACTTATGTTTTACTGAACTGTATTTAGTGGTAGTTTTCATGTGTGCAATTGTGGCTCTCGCAGTTTCATGATATACTTTGAAATTGCTTTTTAAACGGTTGTAATATGGGCAGAAGGGGTGGCATAGTGGACTGAGCATGGGGGGACATTTTTTATATTTGTTAGAAAGTAGGTCAGTAAATCAACAGTTTTCAGAGAAAAAGCTTTAAAAACCAACTGTAGGCTAACTTTGTAGCACAAAGCGGCTGACAGCTAGTCGGCAACTAGCTAGTGAAACCTGAGCGTGTAGAAGCTAAAGAAGCCAGAGTTAGCTTTGTGGTGACCAAAAACAGAGCTAAAAGGACAATTACCAGGTCACCATCAATGGGATTTGCAATTGACGGTTAAAAAAAAAATTCTCCAAAAGAAAATGTTTTCTCAAATTAAACGATGGTTACTGAATTTTCTATCCGTTTTTGAATTTACAAAAAAGACCTGCACACTGTATTAAAAGCTCCCGGAAATTTTGTTTTTGCAATGTTTCAATCTAACAGAGATCTCCGTCAGGCATTATTAAAATATAAAACAAGTACCTGTGTTTTTGACCAGCTTTTCTGTTAAAATTGTTTTTTACGATATTTCTGAAATCCCGCCAAATGTTGACAAAAGCAGCCCAAATTTCCTCTCCCACCCAACTTAATCACAACTAGTCCAAATGGGCAGAAACCAACCCAAATTGGGAAGACTGGCTCCATGCATGTATATCTACTGTATGTGTAGACAGGCTGCTGGTAGCGAACAGCTTCCCATGAAATAATAAGGTAAATTACAACAGGATGTCTTTCTGGGGAACAAACTCACAGCAAACGTCGTTATGATAAGTGTCGTCTGTTTTTGATGTAAAAACATAAAATCAAAGCTCAGGAATCGTCTGACTTCAATATGGGGTCATCTGTCCAAAACGTATGTTGTTTGTTTCTCTCTCTCTCACACTCACACTCACACACACACACACACACACAAATAAGCCGAGGGAGGATGCCTGGTACACTTGTGGTGAGCTTCCTACATCTGGGGACATCCTGACACCAAACATAAGCTTGTAATCACACTCAGTCCTCTGGGACTAATTCACAAAACATGATTACCAAGATTTTTCCACTCCCTGTTTTGGTCTGTTTTTTGACATTTTGTGCAAAGAATGTTTTTTAGTCTTGCATGTGCAACAGGCTAGTCATCAACAAAGTATTATGGAAAGAGCACCTCACTCCTGTTCCCACTGTAAAGCTGCTCTTGATTAGACGGGCTTCTGCACCACATGGACACGTCATGGCAGCTCTCAAATGGCAATTAAACAGTAATTAGTCTTGAGGGGACGGCATCTTGAGGTTGTCATTTATTTCAGTTTGAAACAATACAACGGTCACCGGACCATAACTCCAACACATGTCATTCCCTCTTAAGGCAGATATCAATTTAACATATCGCTGAATATGATTCAAGTAGGCGCACAGCAAAAGCAACAGGAAGAAGTACAGGAATAAAAAGGTTGACAGGATTTCAAACAAGAAAAAGGAATTTGAACAAACAGCAACAATACATGAAATCAATACTAGACCGTGGACAGGAAGCTCTTAGGAATGCTCTCATACTATAATGTGTATAATGCCTTCAATAAGTCAGTGGGACATCGCACCACACAGAAACTGATAAATAAACGGGTAAGAGAGCCAAGCTGAGATTAAATGTACAAACGGCTTGCTGTTTTACCAGGCATCAGAGAGGCAAAAGAAAGTTGTGCATTAAAGTGAGTAAGAGAGCATATGTTATCGAGCTCTTATTACCGTAAACCTTATACTTGTGGAAGTTATGGTCCAGGTCAGACATGCAAAGACAAAGAAAAGGTTTAGTTGCAACAAATCCTATGAGATCCAGATGGCTACTTGTCTTGCATATTTCAATGTAAAGAGGAAGAGAGAAAGAAACAAATAGGCTCATTTGAAAGCCTCTATAGGTTCTGAAGCGCTGGACTGGATTAACAGTGAAAAATAAACTGGTTTCAGGAACCGGGGTCCATCGTGAAAGGTCTTGTTTGGGAGCATTCACAGTGTTGTGGTGCATTATGACAGATCACTCATGAAAAGAAGTCTCTTCCACCACTATCTGCAATCCAAGTGATGTGTTGTTTGTGTAATAATGCTTAGAAAGATAGGTCTTCTAGAACATTTTAACTGTAACTCTGCCGCTAGATTTAGACCTTCAGGGGACTCCTGTCTTGATTATAATGAACTATTTTGGGTAAAATTTGGAACGCTGTGTACTGTAACCTACAAATTGGTTCATGTAATAGGCACTACGCTATTAACCTGATGCCTTAATGCACAACAGAATCACCGCTGCCATTAAGTTAAATTCAAACCAGACGTGCACTTGGCGTTGTTATGTCAATTTAAAAGGCTATACTTCCTCAGGCAAGAGGTTGTGTTTGCATGATCCTTTCGTTCATGTTAGACAGAAAGTAGTGACAGATGATAGTAGAAAAGGAAGTGTGCAAACAGCAAAGTTCTTTAGATGGACAGAACTACTCCAACAATAAACCTTTTTAAAGTAAAAGAAGTACTCATCCAGTTCATTCACACCCCCCCCATCCTCCTCCTCCCCTCCTCCTCTCTCTCTCCCCCTCTCTCTCTCCGTTTCTGGTCTGTAGTCATTCCCATCACTTTAGTGCTTTTTTTTCCTTCCGTCCAGTTTCAGGGTATGGAACAGTATCCTCCACATGCCCGGCCACTGCCCGGCTCCTGTTCCCCCAGACGGACCTTCTGACCCTGGCTTTCACTCTCCCAGAGCCCCGGAGTCTGGAGGATCTTCTCCACAAGCTCCTCAAAGGCACACTGGACGCCATCTTTGGTCTTTGCACTGGCCTCTGTACAAAGGAAAGAGGGTTACCAAGATTTATAAGATCAGCTACAAAAAAAAAACAAACTGGTACCACACTTTCCAAAATGTTACAAAAAAAACAAAACACTACATGTCAGCTTTTAAATCCCAAACGGAGCCAAACAGCCTTCTTTTTACATTACAGTCACTAATGATAGAGATTTTAAAAATACCCATGTGTTGACAAACATGACATATAAAGTATGACATGACTTCAGTTAAGGAGCCGTGGGGTGAAAACATCCTCACAGCGGATCAAATCCACGACATCTTCTTGCCCAGCCCTTTTCAAAACCCCGTAATTTAGCCCATTCTAAAATGGAAACTCCATAAACGTTAACGAAATTTCCCAGAGAGGGGCAGATTGGAGATGAGAATCAGCAGCACATGTAGACATGGATGGGATAAATGAAAGCCCGCTATAGATTTTAATCATAATGCAGTTCTTCTGGAGCGGCCGCATCTTTCAGCGCGAGAGTCTCGGTAATGCCAAAGCAGTATAAACAACGCAACAAACCCAAACTAAACGCACGACTTACTAAGTGATGTCTTTAATGTTCCAGCGGTGCAAAAATACCGTTCTGACTTTCAAGTACAGTACGGTAGGTTTTAGTGGCTCGACACAGGAAGTTACACGTCACGGCTCTAGTAGTTTAAGTGACCACGTCTAATTCGGACTCTTACCAATAAAAAGCATGGAGTGTTTCCGAGCAAATTTCAGTCCCTCATTTCTGTCCACTTCATGGTCGTCCTGAAAAACAAAAAGACATCCTATGTGCTTTTTCTCTATGCGGAATACACACGGTAAAGGATAAAACACCAAAAGGGAATAACACCAGTGGACGGTGAACACATTTATTAAACACTTCCAGGACTTCCAGGTATTGTACAAGTCAAACCGGCACAAACAGGACTCACCCGGTCGATTTTGTTCCCGACGAGCATCTTTACGATGTCATTGCGTGTCGTGTAGGTTTCCAGTTCATTCAGCCAGTTTTCGAGCTTTGTGAAAGTCTCGCGCTTCGTGACGTCATATACTGCCAAAAGCAAGCAAAAGGAGAAAAAGGAGTTAATGGGAATATTTGACACGAGCGTAATTACATCTTTGTGAAATCTATAACTCATTTTAACAGGAAGCTGCAGCTGTCCGACAGCCGTTGATTTACAGTTTTTATCCAAAGTGACTTGCAGGATAATGTGTAATGAGTAAGTGAGGATGTGATTCTTTCACTGGAGAGAGAACATGGCCTCTAGGTCTGGAGTGGAACATGGTATGTGGCTTTATAAGCATCGCTGTTTACCAAGTATGACTCCCTGTGCACCGCGGTAGTAGCTGGGCGTCAGGGTGCGAAACCTTTCCTGTCCGGCGGTGTCCTGCAAAAGTAAAATACACTTAAAATCAAAAGGCAGCAAAAGCATCCATGACACACCAAGCTTCAGAGCAACAGGTACACTAGCCAGCGTCCCCTTTCACAGACTCTGACTTTAAAAAGTGTTCCCGATAAATCTGCAAGGTTGCAGGACCGTCCCGCAGTGGAATCGACCATTGATTGAGAACTCCGCACAGATATTCTGCTTGAGGGAATTCTTCCTCAGAACACGGTTAACATGTTACATTTCCATGCATTATGAAATGTACGCAATTATTTTCTAGTAGTATATTTCTATAAGTATTTTGAGACTTGGCATGTATTTGGGCCTAGGTTATGGCCTCACCATGCATGTTGTGTTGTCATTGGACATTTATGCCTCAGGTAAGGAAGTTTAATCTGTTTTTCAGTTTCTTTCAGTGACTCTGTCTCTGCAATGTCGCCATCCTGTGGAGAAACCCTATAGTTCATCATGTTTTTCCTGACAACAAAGATTAAACTACAGACAACACCTAAGCCAGACTTCAGCCTTACCCATATGGCGAGCTTTGCTTTGTTCCCATCTATTGAGAGCGTCTTTACTTTGAAATCCACACCTGATCGGTCACGAGAGAAAGAGAGGAGAGAGAGAAAGGGGTCCATGTTAAAAACATCAGAAGCTTCCATACATCTGTATGTATGTGTGTGTGTGTGTGTGTGTGTGTGTATGTATATGTATGTATATATATATATATATATATATATATATATATATATATATTTATATATATATATATTTATATATATTTATATGTAAGTCTGTGTGTGAGTAAGTTAAAAACCTATCGTCGCAGACTGCTCTGGGTCAAAGGTATCTTCTGTGAACCTCAGGAGGAGACTGTTTGGGGAGATTAACAGCATGGAAATAAGCAGCATACAGTATAATAGGCTTTTGTGGGTAACAACAACTATACAGTTTATGTTGATAATTAAAAGATGATGAGCAGCAGCAAACAAAATACAGGTGAACATGTTTTAAACTGCCTCTGTGACGTTGAGGTTATTAGTCACCTTAATGGTCAACTTGTTACCAGTAAGTATTTGGCTTAAACTCAACAACACTACCGGCTAGCTGTAGCATCAACTGCTGAGCAACGGAGGAATAAACTTACATAACTAGGAGAATGTCAACATTCACGACAGGCTAACAGCTAACAGCGAGCTACAAACACACAGACGCACACCTGGACTTTCCGACTCCGCTTTCGCCAATTATCAACAGCTTCAGAGTCGTCAGCACGTCGTCCTCCATATTCCTGTCGGAGCTAGTCTGACTTTGCACTTTGCGGCGCTTTTTAACGGTGAATTTCACTTGTTGTTTTAGAGCAGCAGGCGGCTAAGCGGCTCCGATGACAGCCTGCTGGGGACGCAACTTCCGCCCGACCTGCCACGCGTGACGTCACGGAGGTTCGTCACGAGGTTTGAAATTAAATAAAACAAAATAGAAAACAAAAAATGAATATGTCGTCAGTATGTTATTGTATTATTGTAGACTTGACGTTGTACATCAATATAGATGAATAGAGTTTTAAATTAATTTAATTTAATTTAATGAAAAAATTCCGAGATCATTTACAAAATTACAAAAATGATACAATGTTTTACAATAATGAAAGAAATGTGTTTTATTTTATCAGGAGGCTACGTTGTGGATTTGTAAAAAGTAAGTTCCGTGACTATAAATACCTAAAACATTTACACAAAATGTGGTTTTGTGTTCATGGTTTGTATATTTTAAACAAAGCCACATATGCCTTTGCTAATGTGGGCCAGTTTACCCTGAAGCAGAGGTGGATGGGGGATTAGAGGGAAGTCTACCATAGAAAATGACTCTCAACTGACTGACTGAAAACAAAGTAAATAAAGATCCACATTGTAATAGGCCTTTGTTCTGTGCCTTTGTTACATTTCATCAATCTTCAAGGGCCCAAAAGTTGAATGTTACCTCACCCATGAGAAGGAATCACCTGGGGCTTAAGCAAAAGGAAACCATTGACAGTAAGTATTGAAATGGGACCAGTGAACCGTACTACACCAACTGTTCTACAATAGACTCTTTGACCGAGGCCCTCCTCAAACCTCATCAGTCTCTGTTCATTGCAGAGTAGCCAACCCTGTTATTATGCAAATGTAATTATGCAAATGTCATCTAATGATGGAGCAGAAAAGAGTCTGCAGCACAATAAATACAGCTGGTTGTGAATCCTCACAGCTCTCTCTAATGTTGAAATTCATGAGAAAAGGAGCATCTGTTCTATATTCCCCAAAGTTGTTGCAGCTATGGCCAGACTCCGCACAGATTGCATAGAGAGACCTCTAAGCATCTGTTATGAGATGATGGGTCATTTTATCGGTTCCCATCCCTGGTGGTTCTTGATCGCCCCAGTTATTCTCTCGGCGAGTCTGGGGAGCGGTTTCTATCTCCTGGAGGACAGAATGTCAAACGATATCGAAGAGCAGTTCACACCTGTCGACGGACAAGCCAAGCTGGAGAGGAAATACATCCAAGAAACTTTTCCAAGAAACGAGTCCACGTTTTCACGTTTACGACTGAGCACGGATGGGAATTATGCAACTCTCATAGCTGCGAGTGAGAGGAATATTCTGACTGCGGAGTCACTCCAGCACATCCTAGACTTGGACTTTAAAGTTAGGAGTATGGTACTGCATTTTGACAACCGGCTATTTGAATATGCAGATGTTTGTGCTGAGGTGATGGGATCCTGCACCTCTAATGACATTTTAGATATTATTGAACACAGTGCCGACAATATAGATACAGTCAATTTGACATATCCGTGGTATTACTCTGATTTTAGGAATATTCCTTTGTATTTAAGTCTGGGGAGCGTGAAAGTGTACGAGGAGAGCTCAGTTGTTGAAAGCGCTAAAGCCATACAGGTCCATTACTACTTACGTGAGGACAACAAAACAAAGACTGACCTTTGGTTGGAAAGCTTCATTGATTTGGTCTCAAACAAATCATCAACTTCCATTCAGGTAAGCAGAACTTTAACACGTTCCTTTGTTTAAATTAACAGCTTTTTGTTTAATTAATTAGCTTCTATTAAATGTATTAATCTTTTCTAGGTGTCATACTCCACCTCCATGTCAATGCAGTGGGAATTTAGAAAGTCTCCAGCATCCGTCATCTATTTATTCTCCATCACCTATGCCACTGCCATCACATTTTCAATCATTTCATGTTGGAGGTTGGTAGAACATCTGCTGAACATGTTACAAGATAGATTTTGTACGCATGGCTCTTTCTGATCTCAGATTTTCTTTTAGGTTGGATAACGTGAGGACGAAGGTGTGGGTGGCCTCCTGTGGGGTGCTCTCCACGGGTCTGGCAGTCCTGAGCGGTTTTGGTGCCCTGTTGTTGCTGGATCAAACTTTTGTCATGACAGTGGCCTCCTGTCCTTTCATGATACTAGGTAGGTTCTGTTTAACAGCCGGGTCCATGAGGCCCCAGGAACAATCAAAGTTATAGAGAACCCTCAAAACCAATATAACTTCCTGTTAACCTAAAAAGTAAAATATACTACATTGACATGACATTCTAATGAATTTCCTTTTTGGTGTTAGCATTTTTTAGACCAGATGTATTGTCATTAGAATCTTGACTTCTGATTATGTACATTATACTTCTTTTCATGTCACACAACCATTGCCGGATTAACCAGTTTGGGGCCCCCTGGGCAAACATTTGTTGTTGGGCCCCTAAAAACCAAAAGTAATGCAGAAGTAATTTGCACAGTGAGGGATTACGCAACTCCAGTTCAAAAGTCTTCCAATTGATTGTCATGATGAACAGAAATGAATGGAAAACAATGGCTGCTGCTGCATTGAACAGATGTAAAATCATACATCCTGCATTTAAAAAGGGTCAACAAAAACAAAGAAGTCTATACATCATTTGTAGTTAAAGAATTTTCAAACACGGTGGTATAGTCCTTTATAAGATCTTGACAAAGGCTTTTCAAAAAGTCACAAGTTAAGGCCCCACCTCAGTTTATTGTGTACTTTAGTGGCGCAAATTCCTAAACATTAGCCTTGCACACAAAACAGGAAAGAGTCACAGAAGCTAAAATCTCTCTCTCCTCTGACCTTCTACCTCAAGGTATTGGACTGGATGATATGTTCATCATGATCTCGTGCTGGCAGAGGACCAGCGTTCTGGACAGCGTCCCCGACCGGCTGGCCGACACCTACAAGGACGCTGCCGTCTCCATCTCCATCACCACCGTGACCGACGCTCTGGCTCTCTTTCTGGGCTACAGCTCGCCCTTTGGTTCAGTCCGGTCCTTCTGCCTCTACTCTGGGGTTTCTATCTGCTTCTGCTATCTGTACAGCATCACATTCCTGGGGGCGTGTATGGCTTTGAACGGACAGAGAGAGGCTGAGAACAAGCACTGGTTCACCTGTGCCAAAATCCCAGAAGATTTACCATCCAGGAGTTCAAAAGCCTTCAGTATGTGCTGTGTTGGGGGGAGCTACGATAGAATCACTGAGAAAGAGGAAACAGAGCCCTTGAGTCTCATGTTTGAGCGGTTCTATGGCCCATTTCTGACCCACAAATTGACAAAGGCGTGTGTTTTTGTCTTTTACGCAGGCTATTTAGCTGTTAGTATCTATGGTTGTTTAATCTTAAAGGAGGGACTTGACATCAGGAATCTGGCTTTGGATGATTCCTACATCGTCGATTACTACAACAATCAAAGGCAACACTTCTCTGAATATAGCTACAACACGATGGTAGCAGTGAAGCATCCCTTCCGGTACTGGGATGAAGATGAACAGAAGCATCTGCGTTCCTGCATTTCAAATTTTGAGAGTTTAAACTTTGTGAATGGGACTTTTGCTTGGTTTCTTTCCTTTCTACAGTACGCAAATGCAACCAATCTCAACATAGGTTCTCAAGAGGCTTTCCAAACACATCTGCCACATTTCTTAGACCTCAATTCCATGTTCAAACAAGACATCAACTTCACTGCAGACAATAAGATTCAGGCCTCTCGCTTTTTTATCCAGACGCTGAACAACACAACAACGAAGGACTTGATGATTGGACTCAGGGAAACAGCAGAGGAGTGTCCAGTAGAGCTCCTGGTGTACCACCCTGCTTTCATCTACTTTGACCAGTATACTGTCATTAAGGACAACACCATTCAAACTATCCTGGTGGCTGTGATTGTGATGCTGGTTGTCTCGCTTATCCTGATACCCAATCCTCTTTGTTCCCTGTGGGTGGCTTTTGCAGTTTGTTCAGTCATTGTTGGCGTGACGGGCTTCATGGCGCTGTGGGGTGTAAACCTGGACTCCATCTCTATGATCAACCTGGTCATGTGCATTGGTTTTTCTGTGGACTTCTCAGCACATATTTCTTACTCTTTTGTCTCCAGCTCCAAGAGTGACGTCAACGAGAAAGCCGTGGACGCTTTGGCCCATTTAGGCTATCCGATACTACAAGGAGCACTGTCCACTATTTTAGGTGTGGTGGTGCTGTCCATGTCTGGGAGTTACATCTTTAGGACGTTCTTCAAGATTGTGTTTCTCGTGATTACATTTGGGCTGCTCCACGGCTTAGTGTTCATTCCAGTGTTTCTGACTCTGGTTGGGGCCTGTGGGAAGTGCCGTTGAAGTGGGGATCAAGGGTGTGAAAATAGAGAGTGCAGGCATAGAGTTGCACCGGGGCCTGTGGTGGCGGGTCCACTATCATACTGTTGGGCAAAAAATAGGCCCCTGCGAGTGATTCAGATTGCCACCTCAGAAATACACCGTTCACAGAAGAATTATGAATAATCTTTTTTTTAACTGTTCAATAAATGAATAATTTCTTATTTTCTTTGGTATTTTTGTCATATAGAGAAACGCAATTAAGATTGCTGGGTAATATGCATGCTCATGTTGTCGTTGAAATTGTAACTCCACCTTTTGGCCACTATGTCAAATTTGCTCCAAAGCCGTAGTGCTCAATATACACAGATATTGGACCAATCATATTACAGTGCTGATGACACCATCAATCAAATGCAAAAATGTATGTGCTGTAGCTGTCATGGTGGGAAATTTCTCCTTTCTAGTAATTACAATTTTGTGCACACCAAGGAAATACTACTGATTTTGTAGTATCATAGTAAAATCATGTTTTGACTTCAGTTTGAGTTTAATAATTATTTTGTGATTTTCGTGTCGATCAAGTGTCAAACTAAACAATAGAATGATTCCTAATCTATTCTGTTTCGACGTGTCAAACTTTTTGTCTAATTTGTAACAGAGCCATGTTCTGCCTCATTTTATGCAACAATAAATCTTAAGAACATTCCGACTCACAGACCGAACACACAAGAAAACCACACGTTTTTATTTGGGCTTCTTTTTATTTATCTCAGCTCAACAAACATTCATTAACCACATCCATCGCATTGTTGAGAGATTTCGTCAATCAACAGCAGAGAGCCATTCATCAACAGTTCTCAGCATAAAAGCATCACTATACATCTATATACAATGTTCCCGTTACATCCCAATCATATATATACAGCTAAACATGGATAAAAGGCCAATAAACTGAAGGAATGGCGTCTCAATTCCAATGAAAAACTGAAAAGGTAACAACATGAAGCACATATGCTGGTGGTAATCTTAACATGAGTTACACTTTCAATAAAATGTTTAAAAGAGATAAAATATGGATTTCATACACTGCTGCTGAAAATTCACTTGAAAATTGGAACATTTTAAGAAGCATAACTGCATGTTTCTACCAAGATTTTCACTTTACAATTAGACATCTTAACGTCCTTTATACAGAGAGCCAGTAGGCATTGAAGATTGGCATCTTTCTTCCACTGCACACAATGTGTGGAAACAGAAAGGTAGAGAGCACGAGATGTGAGAAATATCTCTGCTTTGATATAATGACAAAGGAGACACCAGCGAACAATAACTGATAACTGGCCTTGTTGTTTGTCTGAATAATCTAAATATTAGAGTCTTTCACAAATTCATTTGCATTTTCAAGAAAATGCTGATATTCTGATGAGTCTTTTTCAGAAGCCAAACTCGGACTACTTAAATAAATTAGGCCAGAAATCCTAAAGATCACAAGATGAACACAGTTTGTATTTGTTGCATGCTTTGAGGCCGAGCATCAGTAATTGTTCCGTCTGTACACGCAGCATGAATGCAATAAAATTACATGAAGAGAGCACAAGTGCATTTTCAATTCTTACACCTGCATTGCCCAAAGTGCCGAGTTCACCTTTATTTGCTACATCTAACAGTACATTCCCCAAAAGGCCACCATTCAAGATAAGTAACAGGGACATATGCAGAGGGGGAGAGGCGAGTGTAGATACATACACGTGATCCTCAGATGGAAAGTCAAAGAGCAGCACGACATTGCGACACTTCTTGGAGCTTATTTAACAGAAGAAGTAGAGAGTGTCACCTGGCCTGGAAGACGTATACTAGAAAAATAACATATGAACACAAACCCTGGAGGAAAAGTGACAAATAGGAGTTGAGATTTAGTTAAAGTTTTATTACGATTGCACGGCAGCTCTTTGGGCTAAAGATCAGCATTTCCCATCGACGGGTCCAAACAGACCTGGCTCAACAGATTTCAAACAGATTTCAACTCCTCTTTCAACAATTAACACTATGTATCATGCTGCTCTTCTGTTTGAGGTGCATAATTACATTCATGTATTATTTCCTCCCAGCAACTGATTGAGTGACCTGAGCAACATACTTCACATTTAACATGTGACACAGGGAAGCTTTGTTTAAGTGCCACATGACAGAACTACCTATCTGGGAATATTGACGAGATTACACGAAGGGCACAGCGTGAGGATATGACATAGTCCCACATGAGCACTTATTCACTGCTCATGAATTGAGTGCGTCCCTCCTTCCACGACCCCTGAGCTCTACAAACCTGACCCCCTTCCGCCCTGTTGCTACCCTCTTGATTGTTGCTGTGCTTCGCAGTTTCATCTGGCCTCCAGGGCCTTGCCCTCCAGGACCAGCTGAATCTCTTTGGCATCCAGAGTCTCATACATGAGCAGAGCATCTGCTAGGTATTTGTGCTCCTTGGTATGAGACTTCAGCAGGGCTTTGGCACGCTCATACGACTCCTGGTGACAGCAAGAGAAAAGATGGTAAGAAACAAAAAAAGGTTTTACAAGGCTGGTTGGATTTGGAGTTTTTGGTTCAGCATCAAAAACATCACACAGACCTTCAATAATACTCTGATTTCATGCTCCACAGCTGCTTGTGTCTCCGGGCTCTGGGCTGTCATGTCAGTGTAGGTCATCACACCCAACTGGGAGACAGGAAGGGGGGGAAAAGAAAGAGTGACGCTTTGAAGGGTTTTGGAGCTTTTACGGAGTGGAGAACTGCTTTCTAAAGAAATCATCTCTAGTATAGTTTACACTGAGTAATGTAATGCAAAGTCTGTCACTTAGTTATAGCTGGAGCTGATCCGGAGCTTACCTTTCCACACATTCCAAATCTGGTCACCATCATTTTAGCAATCTTCGTGGCACCATCGAAGTCGCTTGATGCACCTGGAGAAGAAGACATATTGAGACTTCCAACCAGCCAACCACATTCCCTCATGTTAGAGAATCAGGAGTTCCCTTATGTCCAAACATGTTTTTGGGAACTCTTGTCTTACCGGTTGTTATGAACTCATTGCCAAATATAATCTCCTCTGCTACCCGGCCGCCCATGCTGACGTCCATCTGGGCCAGCAGCTGAGAGCGAGTCTCACTCCAGCGATCACTCTCTGGGAGCATGGACACCTGACGAGATACATTGAAAAAGACTGAGAGGAGGAATGAAAAAATGAAAGGGATGAGAGGATGTACGCAGTTTAAAGTAAGGACAGTTTGCACCGGACCTGGTATTCAGAACCTAATATGCAGAGTTTAACCGTTTCGTTTGGAAGCTCAGGGTTTCCTTACATGTCCCAGACTGTGGCCTCTGGGCATGATGGTGGCCTTGTTAATGGGCATGGCATCTTTGGTGTAGTAAGCCACGATGGCATGGCCCGATTCGTGGTACGCTGTGATGAGCTTGTTTTTCTTGTCTATTTCTGCACTTCTTCTCTCAGGGCCTTGGAGAAAAGAAAAGACGGTGTGAATTTCATTATTTTATAGTGACATTCTCAAAATTACTTTTATTACAGTGAAAGGAAGCCTTTGCCATGCAAGATGAAAAAAATAAATAAAAAAATCAGGATAAGGTATAGTAGAAAGATTAATCATAATTTAACAATTGCAGGGAAACAAGAAAAAATGTGCTAGTTGCCAACTAGCACATCTTCCCGATTACTCACCCATGAGGATTTTGTCTTTCGCAAACTCCAGCTCCTTCAGGGTGACCATGTCCTTGCCATCAACTGCTGCCTTCAGGGCAGCCTGGTTGACCAGATTTTCCAGGTCAGCGCCAGAGAAGCCCACTGTGCCCCGGGCAATGATAATGGCCTCAATAGCTGCAAGAGATAACACGCAACATCAAACAACAGTCCGTCTAGGCCTCAGACCGGGTCAGTAAAGTAGGCAAATATTCAGCCTATGATGGTAATGATGCTGATCTCACACCTGGATCCACTTTAATCTTCTTCAGATACCAGTTGATGATCTCTGTGCGTCCTTTCACGTCTGGTTTGGGTACAGTCACCTGCATGTCAAAACGTCCTGGGCGGATCAGGGCACTAAAAAAAAAGATCAGCTGGTTAGAAAAGGGCTGATACCGCGTCAGCATCTGGGTCACTGCATCCAAAACGGCCTCGGGGTTGGAGTCCAGTCTTTGTTATTATGAAGGAAAGCTGGGCGTGAATGTGGGTTGTAAGCTCTGACATGTTCACAGGCTACGTACAGCAAGAGACACAGAGGCAAACGTACTTATCCAAAGCTTCTGGGAAGTTGGTTGCTCCAATGATGATCACGCCTTCATTTGGTTTAAACCTACAAAATAATAGCACAATAATATGCAAGTCAGTGTCTGCAATTCAGCAGCTCTCCTCTTGCTTTCTGGTCTTTATTATCTGTAGGTGAAGAAGTCAACTGCGGGCCACACTTATTAAAGTGCTGCGACAGCCACAGATAACAGATTCATTTTTTTTTGTCTGTAACTGAACTGTAAAAATGCAACAGATACATTTAGAAATTACCCGTCCATCTCTGCAAGTAGTTGGTTGATAGTCTGTCTGGAGTAAGGGTGCATGGGAGACTCAATCCTTTTCCCTCCCACACTGTCCAGTTCATCAATGAAGACCACACAGGGAGCGTTGCCTTTAGCCTCCCCTACAAAACAGGAATGTTAGAAACAAATGTAAAAATGAACACATGTGTACCACAATATTCAGCACAACAATTATCATTAGAGAACAGGTGTGAATGCTGAAACTGCATTGCTGGTTTGTGTGTGTGTGTGTGTGTGTGTGTGTGAGTGTGAGAGAGAGAGAGAGAGAGAGAGATTTACAAAATTTAGAAATTTAAATTGGTCTTTCTACTCAAATGTAGGATTGAGTAGATAAGTTTAAAAGCATGAAGAAGTGTGAAAATGGGTTAAATTGAAAGGTTCACTTTGATCACTTGAATGAGGAAAATGTCCCAGAAAACATTGAATATTTGTGAGAGTATGGACGGTTTGACTGATAAAAGTAAATGTGGGCGTGTCCTAATGGAGCAGTACGTTTTGATGTTTGAATAACGTTTCTCTACTGGAAGGAGTTAAGTATCAAAAAGTAATAAATATAAATTCACACCAATTACTTTTGTTGCCACAATCATGCAGCCCTTGTATCAGTAGAGGTCAACTATACACACTAAGCAAGGAAAAACAAAAAATTAAAATGTTTTAAATTTAAATAATAATTTAAAAAATCCCACTGAAAAGGTTCCGGATGCGGCTGGCTCCCACTCCAACAAACATCTCGTCAAATTCGGACCCGGAGGCGTAGTAGAACGGTACATCGGCCTCTCCTGCCACAGCTCTGGCCAGGAGAGTCTTCCCGGTCCCCGGAGGACCAACCAGTAGAACACCTAAAGTAGAGGAAGGGATGAGGAAGAATGAGAGAGCGATGCAAAAACAAGATCCCTGAACAGAACTGAGGAAAAATGCAGTGTGAGAGATAGCAATTACCTTTTGGCAGCTTTCCTCCCAAGGCTGTGAACTTATCTGGGTTTTTCAGGAACTCCACTACTTCCTGCAGCTCGTTCTTAGCTTCTTCTACCCCTTTGACGTGCTCAAACGTCACATTCTTCATCTGGACGGGGTCCACAGCAGAGTCCAGGCCTGATGTGGTTCGGAACCGTACTATCCAAAATGGTTAGATTAAAGTTCGAAATCACACTGCATGGCACGGTTAATGAACTGACAAACAAGCTGCCTGTTACTGAGGATTATTTAAGAACCACGTCTGATTGCATATAGATTAGTGCTTCAATACTGCAGGTTAGAATATGCCTCTGTTGTTGCCTGCAAATAGCAGAACATGGCTCAGTTATACCAAGCTTAGTTCTTTCCTTTAAAGGGTTAATACATGTTCAAGATGCATAGATTAGTTTAGCAGGCAAATGCTGGGCTTTATTATTGACATTCACATGTTGACAGAATAAAATGTTAACATATTGGAGGTGATTTGGCGTGTGATATGAAATCAAAAAGCAGCTTTGGGTAGAAAAGGAGCCTTTACCCGATATGAAGGGGGTCTTGGAGATTCCATAGATCCCAACAAGAAGCAGCACCAGCAGGATTAGACGAGTCCTCCTGAGAGAGTCTGACCAGTTGGAGCACGAAAACTACACATCAGCAATGTTTTAATGCTTCTAATGGAACAACGGTTGTGTGACTCAATTTGAGTTTGTTTGTATTAAAACTCGCCTTGTGTGCGTTGTGTCAAGACTTGAGCTTTCATGAAACCCTCAGCGAAGCCCCTCTTGAACGCATCCTGCTGCCCCTCGGGTACGCTCTTGTTCTTAACCAGACCGTCGAGATTTTCAACTTCTATCCCCTTGTCCCGTGTTAGGAATCCCTACGGAACAAGGTAGGACTGGTCAGCAGTATCCACAAAGCCACAATACGCCTTCACTTTAACCTCAAGGCCAGCACACTGGACGAGATGTGTAGGGCCTGAAAACTTAAGGTGCACAGGCTCCGCCTTTATTCTTAAGATTCCTGTATGGGCAGAACAGCTGGAGGCCCCTTTTGTGTGGTCAGGCAAGTGCAAAGGCAGCTGCTGATAATTACTTAGCTAACATAACTGATCATATTAGCTAACTAAATCATTTTTAAAAACTTTATCTCTAACATGCTTATTACATTAAACATGTAAAGTATATGCTTAATACAATAAGCACATTAAGCATATAGCGTTACATGCTTAGGGATTTGCATAAGCATGTGGATATCTCGGAGTACTTACCTTCATAAAAGACGGCGTGAATCCTTCAGGGTCCAGGGAGTGGTCGGCGGCTGACTGCAGTCGTCTGGTTTTGCTCTTTAAAGTTTTAAAGCCTCTGTTTGGAACCCACGCTTGAAACACGAGGTAAGCGTAAGATGTTTAAATAGATTAAAGAGCTAACCATGTTTCCACCGCATATCATTTAACAAGATTAACATAAACATTGTGAATCTAGGCCACCACAGATAATATTGACAATTAACTGGAATATTTGTTGCTCCCTCAGTAATATTATTTACATTGTTGTCAAATAACATTACAACCCAACTCTAGTAATGCATTAGTAACAACTGAATGCAAAGCTTTGGATTAGTAATAAAATATTACATAATCTATAGTTACCAGGCCAGTGTTGAAGCTCTGTGCAGGCAGACTGAAGAGGAGAGGGGTGCTGCCTGGAATAAGGCATGGCAGCCCACGAGAAGCCTGGGAACAGAGAACAAGGCTTAACTGTTAACTCTGAGACACCCTGGGGGAATAAAGTGGCAGCAGAGGCCCTAGTTGATTGTTAAGACGATTAAATAGTAACTAAGCTCATCAAAAAAATTTGATGCTTTCCACCTACACTAACTAGAAACTCTGCAATTCTATGCAGTCAAGTGAAACACAATATTAACAATTCTATTTACATAGTACTATTTCCAGTATGGGAGACCCGTTTATAACAACGATGTACACTCTCACCATGCTTATTGTAGTAAAAGGAGTGTGTAGAAAGATGCGAGGTCCTCCAGGCCGTCTGTCCACCCGATCGAGGTGGCGTCTCCTGTGGACTCAGGCGTGGGAACACACTGCTCACCAGCTCATCCAGCTGCTGTGCTCCCAGGTCTGATAGGCCGAGCTCACGCAGGTTCCACGTGGGCTGCACAAATACATTACACCACCTTGTGTTTGACATTTGATTCATATTCCACACAAAGTTATTGTGGAACAGGTTTTTTTTGTTAAATACGTGGACTTGGAATACCACTGTCTCTGACTGATGCAGCAGTTACAGATGATATCTAATTAATGTTTACCTCTGTGTGGTGTAGCTCTGAGTCTGACGCGTGCTCCTTGTGTTTTCTTGATTTGCAGGGGGCACTGCTGCTGCTGCTGCTTCCCACTGCGCTCTTCATAGAGTGGAGGACATTGATGAGGTGGCTAAGAGGTACAGTCACCTGTGATCACATCAAACAGTGACAGTTCAACCGGCTAGCTGGTGTTACGAAGTCAACATGATGTAAATCAAGCTTACACGCCAGTTATTTCTAATTTTTAAAAAGTAGCAAGGTAATAACCACGTATTATTCGGGTTTGATATTCACCAGCAGCCCAACATATCGCTCATTAACGCAGTCTCCCACCTGGCAGGTTAATGAATGCTCATCGGAACAGTTAGGTTAACGTTAGCTAGCTTTAGGTTAAACTTCTCCCAACGGTCCGCACAGTCTTTATTTAATACAACAGAAAGATAACAATATTGACAGAATGTCCTCTGACGTTAAAATATATTTTAAGTCATTAAACTATAACAAACGCTCGACAGCAGTCTGGGTCACTTTAGAGAACAAGCTAAGGTTAGCTTCACTTAGCTAGCAGGAGTTAAGAACCAAAACAATAACAATGCTAATGTTACCTTGGCCTAGCGTCCCCTGCTTTCTTACCTGTGGTTGGACTGTCATTGACAAAGAAAACATGTTTTATCCTCTCTGGTACACAACGGCCGTTAAGCTGCACAAGTTGAGACACTGTCCTTGAGAGTTAAAGGACCGTATTTCTTTAACTTAGCTCACGGTAGCAGACATAGCAAGTGAAACTGCGAACTTCAGCGGTAGCTGAAAATAAACCCGGATGTGACCTCTATCGTGTTGTAACACATTGTAACCCTGATTAATGTTCTCCTTCTTCTAACCCAGTTTAAGTTCCGTTTGTCTATCTGCAGTTAATGTAAAACTTTAACATTATTATTCAGCAAATTCACACCAGTCTAAACTGAGATAATAATGACTTAGTATCTCATTGAGATACTAAGTCATTATTATGAGACACTAAGTCATTATAATGACTTACAGGATCTTAATTTTTTTCCTCAGTGGTGGAAATGGGCTTCCATATAAATGCGATTTAATAAACTATATTTAAAACCTATATTTCCCAGTTCATGGTTATAGCTGAAAGTAAGTATCCCCATTCCACAAGCTGTCACAGCTTTTCAGCCAATTATCTCAATTTTGAACATCAAAATCAAAGATTCACTACAATAAATGTGTTTGTCCAAATAATGCGTTTATTGCATGTCAAAATGTGCTTCTTGTACTTATGTTTAACAACTGTATATTTGAGAGCACCACACCCTTTCTTTGGATACATCTTAATTTTCACTGTACAGCTGACAAGAAACCAGAATGCATGTATGGATTGTCTTTTCTCTTTTTCTTCTTTATGCAAAGATGCAATCTTTGATACTATTGCACTAATGCCGTAAAATAAATAGATACTTACACATAAATACATTACATTACAGTCATTTAGCAGACGCTTTTATCCAAAGCGACTTACAATTCAGATTCTATCAAATTTCTACACCGTAGGCACAGCTACGGGAGCAATTTTGGGGTTGAGTGTTTTGCTCAAGGACACATCGACATGCAACTAGCAGAGCCGGAGCCAGGGATTGAACCGCTGACCCTCTGATTGAAAGACGGCCCTGCTATCCACTTAGCCACAGTTGCCTGCAATATTCGTTACCATCTCTATTTGGTCTAAAAGGAAATGAACCTCAAATATTTCTATATTTCTAACAATAAATATAAAAGTCCTTAGTAATCAGAAATAAATATTGTCTGACAAAACATGAAAGAAACCTAAAAAAAACTATTAAATGTACAATAAATAAAATAACTGGCAATGACGATGGGGAATCGCTTAAGGTCAACAGCGACTGCATAATCATTAATTAATTTCAATAAATAGTTGACTCAGTGATGTGAGTTATGTGTATATTGTGTTCCTGGTGGTCTGTGAGACATGTCATAAATAAGACCACCACCTAATATCACTACAACAAAGAAAATGTGCCAGCATTTATAATGCACAAATCTTCTGTTTCTTAAAACACGTAAAAAGTATCCATGAAGTCAAAATGCTACACTATATGGCAGAGTCTTACACACCTTTCTGACCATTCATTTATCTAAAGTAGCCTCTCCATTTCTACTGGAGCCTCATTATACTCCGTCTGTGAAGGGAATTGAAAAAGCCGCAAAGCAACAAAAGTGCAACAATTCCATCCGAGCTTCATGTTCTTTGATTGATGCCGACGGTTCACAGATAATTCAGGGGATTTTCCTGTGAGGGGGAAAGAGATGAAACTGAGTTTTGGTAGTTTGTAGTATGGCTATGAAGCTAAAGTAATACGTGATAATAGACCAGGACATTCTTGATCAGTGTTTTGCTCCTTACCTTCTCCTCCGTTGTAAATAAAGCTGGACAAGCCAATGGGCAACCAGAGGCCAGAGTGCAGTCAACACCACAGTGAGTGGAGAAACGTTAAAATGCCACCAAGATGGTCTCAGGAACTATAAAAACAGAAACTTGCATTAAAGCGACTGTTTGTTTTCCGATTGGATAAAACTTGGTCATAAAATGAAGTATAAAAAAACATGACCATATTCAGTTTGAAATAGAACTCTACAAGAACCTTTTGTGCTACAGCTAGGGAGTCCTCCTGCCTTGGCGAAGATGATCTTGACTGAAAAATTCAATAACGAAATATAGAAATCTATTAATTAATATATAATAAATTGTCACGCAACGGTACATTTCAGTAAAAACACTGTGGTGTAAAACCTCTGCTCTTTCACCTGTGACACCGCAACCGTCTCCAGAGCGTGCAGCCTCTGCAACACCGTGGCCATGTCATGCTGCAGCTGCAGCAGAGCTGTAGCTATTTGCTCATTGACGTTTCCTCTGGCAGAGCTGATTGGACGTCTACTCTGTGAAACACAGCAGCAGGCAGCATCGACACTGGCACACCGAAGAGCGCCGCAGGCAGTCCTTGGTGACCGTGAACCTGAAACAGGAGTCAGAATGCGACAGGTTAAAGGTCTAGTGTGTAGGATTTGGCAGTGATGTTGCAGATTGAAACAAACTGAAACTTCTTCAGGATGACAAGTATGTAGGAGAACTACGGTGGCCAACGCCAAAACACAAAAGTGTTTAGCTTGCCGTTCTGGGCTACCGTAGTAACATTTGGCGGCTCAGTGAAGAGGTGATTATACTCTCAAGAAAAGATACTATTATACTCCATTTCTGCCAATAAATCTCCCCTAAATGCTACACACTAGTCCTTCATTGCTACAAAGTGCAACTTTAGTGGAAAACTGCTGTGTTTTAGGGTATCAGATGCCTTTAAATGCTACAGGAGGATGACATAAGTACACATCTTAGAACAAGGCTAAATTAGGGATACAGTGTCAGTGTAAATCAAAGTCGACAGGCTCACCTCTCCCTCTTCTTGACAAGGAGCTGTTTGCACTCATCCCTTCTTTAAGGGTAGTGTTGCTGTCAAACACTGAGGCAGCTCCTGATCCAAGTGACAGTATTTTTGATGTAGAACGCCCCTTGATAGGAAAAGAAGAGAGTCGACCACAGCTTGAACGGGCATTATCAGGTCAGAACACATTACATTTATTGTATTGTATTTACTTTGCAACTCTTTATGACTTTATTTCAATAATGTTGATGTGATTAAAGGGATAGTTAGTATTTTATTTGCTTTCTTACCGAGGGTTACATGAGAAAAGAAGCTCATCTGGCTCTCGGAAAGAAAGTAAATAAGGATATTTCCCGCAATGTCGAAACTAATCCTTTGATGTGGTGCACACTATGGAGGAGGGACACCGCACCTCTTCCATGGCCAGATGCTCCATTGAGTCACAGAATTCCTCATTATCTGAGTCTGTGGATCGATGGTTCTTCTCAGGAAAAGCATCAGTATGACCTGCACACGGACAAAATGGTAAATTATATTGTTCTTCAATGTACATCTACATAAAAAACATTTAGTTTGTGATGTTTTTTATTTTCTTTGACAGTATTTTGCTGCTGCACCAATAACATTTTCCAAGACCGATAATTTATGCTATACATATATATAAAGTATATACACACAGTGTTATAAAAACATGTGTACACATTTTGCATTAATGTGTAATCTTACCACTCGGGTGTCCATTAAAGTGCATATAGGAGTTATACTGGACACTGGGCTCTATGCAACAGGCGAGCTCCTCCTCCTCCATCTCGCTGTTGAGGGAGCTGTGTGTCCCGTTGGTGAAGGAGGACATGCTGGGCTCCATGCTGCTGCTGGACCCCCTAGTGTCAGACCTCCACCTCTTGTCCACCATCAGCAGCCTCGGGTTAGGCCTCCAGTCTGAGAGTGAGAGTGAGAGAGTGAGAACAACAAATGCATTCAATCAATTTACTTTCCTACACCCTTAAAATGACCTCAAGGGTGTCACATTGTGGGGAAAATGTTATTCTTAAAGAAAAAATAAAAGTGTGATGGCCAAGCGGCAACTCCTGATGCTGAAATATGAAGCCAAAAAATGCAGTTCCTCTAATGGCCACGCACTGGCTCCAAATGCGAGTCAATCCCCGTAGACCCCGATGTTACAATGCCGAACCTTTCAGCAGAATTAAACATGTAAACAGCCTGCTACAAAAAATGATTTTGGTCTCTATAGCTAATATACATTCATGACAACTGTAGCGAATATAGAATATCACCTGCCTAACCCTTTAAATCATGTAAATACTGTTGGTTAGTGTCTAACCTCTACAACACAGCACATTTCACAGCACAAAACAGCCAACAACTTCTACTACAGATGGTACCTTTTTCCTCCTCCTCTTCCTCCTCCTTGTCTTCATCGTCTGTATTGTCTTCTTCATCCCCATTCTCCTCTTCCTCACTTTTCCTCCAATCACTACTTTCCTCATTTCTCTCGATTTCACTATTTTCATTGCTTCCCTCTGCCTCCTCGCCACTTAGGACGCTTATGCAAGGAGCACTGCTGTCATTTTCTCCGAGGTTTTGTATATCAGCCCACAGATCCCCATAGCCTGAGCGGTGAGGGAAACACTCTTCATCAACTCTCTATCTAAGTAAATGTTGCACAATGTACATCTACACAAAGCAAAGACATAATCACAGTTGACAGTCGAACATTTTACAGCTTCTACACACTACACTTATACCACAAAGGCAACGATAAAGGGCAACAGCCAACACACTGACTAACTACAGCACATTCATGACAGATTACACAAGAACATTTCATCTAACAATCTCATTTCTTACAGTTCCTGCAATGTAAACCGAGGACAATGTACACGTATCACTCCTTTGTCAAATGAAACTGCATTGAAAGCAACTTAAAGAGGTTGAAATAAACGTATACAGCTACAGCGAACACCAAAGACTTGCCTTCCATTATCGGTTTGATAAACTGTTTGACCAGCTCGTCTAGTGATAAAAACACAGTAAGACAGGCTCAGTGTTAGAAAACATGTCCTCTGTGTGACCGACAAAGATGCTTAACAGCAGTACTTGAGCAGCAGTGCTCTCCTTGGAGTGTATTCTGCTCTTATTATGGCATCACTGATCGTGTGCATTACCTGCATGGTTCGCAAAAGGCCTGGTGAAGGGTCTGCTGTCCACCTCATCATCTTCTTCTCCTTCTCTGTCTACCTCTGCGTAGAAGTTGCCAAGCTTCTCGACCAGATCGGACACTTCATCTGAGACTGGGATGGTCTCCAGAATCTGACAACACATTAATAATACATGTGCATCCATATTCTTCCAATCCCTTTTAAAACTATTTGAAATGGTTACAATGAAGCACTTGCTTTTGCATTAAGAGGTTTGGTACAACTTTCAACAAGCCACCAGAAAACAGGTTAATTAGATGCAATTACACGTAGCAAAGGCTGACTGACTTATCTGCTGGACCATGTAATTAAAGCTGATTAAAAACAGCTGATAACTGGAGGACCGGATGCTGTGAGCTGAAAAATTCCAAATAACATTTGTAAAAGCAGTCTGTTGTTTAAAAGCATCTGTCATTGTTCAACAAATTGTTCAAATACATGAAGTGAGTCCTTTTCATATTAACAAGAGCAGCTGCTCTGTGAGGCTGTACGTAACATCAACATGCTAACATGCTCACAATAACAATGCTAATGCTGATGTTTAGCAAGTATATTGTTTACCATACATTACATACACAATTATACCTGCATCTTGTTGTCCTTGTATTATATTGTATTTAATTTTTTTGTTGTATTTGTTTTTGTTGTTTTTTTTAAAATATGTATTCATGTGTCTGGAAAATAAATGAAGTATACTATCCTAGTTTGGCATGTTAGTACGCTAACATTTTCTAATTAGCAATAAACACAAACTGGAATTGAGGCTGATGGAATGTCAAACCAAACAACAACATTTTGACCTGAAAAAAGTTATAATAATTCAAAGTCATGCTCATGGTGGCGCTAGAGAGAAGTTCATGGGGTCACTTAGGTCAGCATGATACATATCTGTGCAAGTCTCACAGCAAACCATCAAAGAGTTGTTGGACTAACTGACTCTGGCTTTAAAATAATAAAAAAATGATGTGCTTCATACTCAAATAAATTGTCCTCACACAAAGTGTCTTTAACAATTCAGGAATCAGTAATCTGTGAAAAAATGTTTTATTTGAGGACGTATTATTATATATATATATATATATATATATATATATATATATATTGTACATACTGTTCGTTAGGCACACACTTTTCTGACCAAGCAAAAACATCAATGTGAGGAGAGATGTGTACTCCAAGTTTATTAACTTTTTATTATGATGCATACTGCCTGTATTCAGCTCCAGTTTCCCTTGAAAGGACTTACCAGCTGGATGTCCTCAACATAATTCCTCATGGCTTCCTCCTTTGTCATATTTCCCAAAGAGCTCCATGCATCCCTGGTAACAGAAAGTCTTAGTTCAACACTTGAACCCTGAGAGGAAAGTGAACACTTCATAGCTGTTAAAAAAAGGGGTAGTTACAGACATATGCAGAAATCTCACCGATCTTAATCTATTCTGTATTACTGCAGGATTATCCATACTTGCAATATTGTGCGTAATATCTGGGTATTACATTATTAAAATAAGTCACGGATTAGGAACAATGGTACAGCAGACATGTGCAGTGACTGTGCCTTTGATATATAGGCTCTGAATGGACAGAGAGCGAGACTCTGATGGTATGAATATTAGTGAGTTAGTTTGTGTGAAACATGCAAATGCACCAGCTGTCGGAATTTAGTGGTGGAATAAAACAATTGCGTGTGCATTAAGACAACATTTTATACCATTTAGCTTTTCCACTCGTGTCCCAGAAGCCGTTGGGTCTCGGGATGTTGCAGGGCCCCGAGGTGGCCTGCTTGTAGTAACTGTAGAACATCAGCATCATGTCATCAGATGGCTGGAAAGGACCTGAGAAATGAAAGAAGCAAATATACATATAATATATATATATAACATATTACATGTGAGCTACAGGAGTTGTTAGACTTGAGATATGACTGATTCAGTTAATCAGCTCTTATCCTTATAGCAGTTTTATCAATAGAGGGGCAGCCAAGAGTTACAGCTCTAACGCTCCGTATGTAGGTCGATCACCTGGAGTGTTTACGCACACACAAGGAGGCACAGACTTCACCGTATTGCACATAACGCTAAGTGAACACCAGTAAATTCACTTTCTGATAGGGCAGCATCACCTTCTTCAGGCAAACTCCGGATCACTTTAACTGCAGCAACAAATTTCGCCCCCAGGCTGTGTATGTCCTCCTCCTGCGCCATGCTGAATCCCAACCAGGATGAAGTGAAGAAGTCCTCACGTCTTCAACAACGATATGAAGCAATTAATGGGAAAAAAATCAAATCAGTTCAGAGCGGGTTTAGCGAAGGACACTTCAACACAATTTGGTCATCACTGCAGCTGGTTGCCACTTGTCTTATCTAAGGAGGCAGACTGTTTCCTCTTTAATCTAGGATATTCTAGGAGAAATGTGGTTTATTGAATAAGACATTGTCGGTTTAACACCAATAGATTACATTATTTAATTCTCCCTACGGCTGATTTGTGTGAAACTCACCAAAAAGTTCATATTCGCCAGTGCAATAATTATTTCATTAGCCCGGTGTTTGTCAGCAATATGCAGTAGAAAGCTAATTTCGACTCCGGTCAAGGATGAGCCAAACAGTCAACGTCTGGTTACTAAGTAGTCTGGGAAATGTAGTTTTTGTGGAGCAAGCCTCGCAGAGTAGCGCGTCAAAACCTAACGTTTACTACTTCAAGCCCCACAAAGCCCTCTCAACCGAGATTTAAACCGCGGTGATGTATGGGAAATGTAGTGTCGTGAGGTTTTAAACCGCACTGAGGAGCACAGGACCTGAGAAAAGTCTACAGTAGGCCTATGTCAACAGTGCATTTTATCTGTGCTTTTCTTATCTCATAGAGACACACATTGAATTCTCTGCATTTTTATAGTGTCAAATTCATAGCACAAGTTTTATATTGTATCTATATTTTTAAGAAACGTATTTATGTAGGCCCTACCTTTCTGTTACTACCATTACCAATAATGGTTTAAGGCTATATATTCAATTTATGTTTGTGTATTTTTGTGGTGAATAAAACATAAAAAGGGTGGAAGAAATGTTTTCTATAATATGTGTTATTGAACCTAAAATACATTATTAATATTACACGTGTTATTTTATAATAATGCTAATTTATTATTTTAGAAAACTACTAGAAAACCAAATTGTTTATTAAAATAATCATCACTGTTATTATTTTTAACTGAATTCTTTACTGATAGACTTGTACGTCATCACAGTGAAATTTGATTGGTCCACTGCTCTTCTCCCTCGGGCTCTCAGCCAATCACGGGCCACCGTTTATAACGTAGCTGCCATTAGTCATAGGGCTATTGTGAACCGGAGGCTCGCGGCCCCACAATGCCAGGCGGGGGAGCCCCTCTCTCAGCTACACACCACAGCATCACCGCCTCGCCTCACTGACACACACACACACACACACGCACACAAAAAGAGAAAAGGACAGAGAGGAGAGAGAAATGCAAAGGGATGTAAGATGGCAGAGCTACAAATGCTATTAGAGGAGGAAATCCCTGCCGGTAAAAGAGCTCTTGTAGAAAGCTACCAGAACCTGTCCAAGGTTGCGGAATACTGTGAAAACAATTATGTTCAGGTAAGAGACGCCTAAAACGGCCATTAAATTCGGTAACATTTTGCCAGCGATCTCCGTCGAGTCTGCGGTGCTTTGTATGGTAACGTTAGAAGTGTAGCGAAACCACAGGGACAGGAAACGTTGGTTGGAACGAAAGGGATCCTCAAAACCGCTAGCTGCACGTAGTGGCCTCCTTCTTCTTCTCCTGGTGGAATGATTCATGGCTGTAATTTGGTATTTTCTCGCGGTTTACCGGAGCCGTGGTCTCGTTTGAAGGCTACTCGACGTGTTGGAAGCTGCTGGGGGGCTTACAGAGGGTGTGTCGTTGTTATGACCGAGTGGATTTGTCACTGACTGCATTCTCTGATACCTGTGACACTATATTTTATATATACACACACATGTAGACGTTAGCGTTAATTATCCTTGTTTCACGTGACTTGAACCCCCAAAAAGGCGTCATAACAGCATTATAAACGACTTAAATCTATAAAGAGCCATTGTACTCGTGCCAAGAAATAAATGTGACATTAGCAGAGCTGTAAGTGCCTCCTAATATTTTGTAGACGTTATTAACGTCCGCTTAGTCACTTTAAACTCAGTATAACTGTAGCATATTGAGTAAAGCCCCTACTATAGAGATGTAGTCATTAACAGAGGAGCCAAGCATCTCTCAACTGTTAGCTTGCTTATTAGTGGATATATCATTATGTGGGTCAAGTCCTTAAAGACTTGGGGGAAAAACACAAGTCATTGAGGACTCAAGATGTGTAGATAAGCTACTCATGGTGCTGAAAGTGCTGAAAACATGGCTGCAGAGCATGTCCCTGGATCATTTGCTTGTAATCAAATGCATGGTGCAGGTTAATGATAGGTGTGTCTGCTGCTTTTTGCATATACAGACTGAATGTTAAATCAGTGTCAGTCAGGAACAAGTATTAATCAGAAGCAGTGGCTCCCAAACTGGGGACAAACCTGTAGGGACCATACAAGTTAGACTTATTGTTCTACTAATTTAATTGGAAGTTTTGAAGAGAGTCAATATTACTAGCTATTTACCCACCAACAAAACAAAACGTATATCAGTTGTGTGTATGTTGGATGGTCTCCCTCAGACACAATCACAGTGATCCAACGTCTGTAGAATATTAAAACAATTGTTGGGATTTCCTGAAGAGTTCACTCACACTAAACTCTCATCACGCTGCTGCTTTGCCGCAGTGAGAATGTATTTATTCAATGTATGATATATGTGAGATTGTGAGCTCACACCGCAGACCGTCACTATAGGTTCAATGGTCTGGTGTTAACAGCAGCGTCTGCTGACAGACCGGCACACCAGAAACCCCACTGTGCTCCAGCACGGGGGGAATCTGGACTGTGTTGCTGAGAAAAGCCCACAGTCTTTAATAACCTTAATAACACGTCGAATTCGCTTTCCCTTGCTTGCCATCAGTAGATTACACTCCACATACACAGCTCTGTGTTGGAGTGTGCTCGCCCCAACATCATTATGCCGAAAGCTACCCGAGAATTTGGACATTAAGCTCAAAGGTTGTGTTGTTAAGTAATTTAAGGTCTCACAGGTACAATTCAGTTGACAGTTTGAGAGGGAATGTCACGCTTCTGTGGCTGACATATTGATTCATACATGTTCACTTATGGATGTTTTACATTTCAGTAATTTGGGATTATTGTGTGGACATGAAATGATGATTTTGCGGCTACATCTTGTCAGGAACACCAGGTTGATAGCTTGACCATTGTGTTCATAAACTCTACGGTGTGATGATGCTTCTATATCTATATATATATATATATATATATATGCATGTACGCTGCTTCTCACGGAATAGTGATTTCTTCGGGGACATTAAAATCATTATCTACAATCCTGCATCTGAATCCACTTGACACAAACACAACAGGGAATTGGCAGTAAGCTGTGCAGGTCATTACAGCGTATGCTCCGGCTGTGAGCGGTAATATTAGACGTGCAATATGTTTCTGTAACACAGCTCTAAATTTAACGTTTTATAAATGCAGTTTACACGTCCACAGCATCAACCAGAATAGCATCATTTCTCAGAATACCACACTGCCAGCGATATGCCCTGATGTGTAAATCCACTCTTATTCTGAAAGAGTTTTATTTTTAGATGAGCAATGAAAAGCTGTCACCTACAAAATGATTGCTGATGAAAGCAGAACTCCGCTGTGTTGGTACCTTTCTTCAGGCCTTTGTACACTAAAATAGCAACTCCTTGGATGATATCGGTGTTAACACTGAAAAGTGCTGTTTTCGGATGATCCTTTGCTGCTATTTCTACGTAAATGGGTCCTAACATTTCGGCTTATTGAACAGTACTTTCATCATTTTCGAAGGTATCCGTTTCAGTTTTTGTTTCCACGATAAAGAGAAATAGTTTTGTCCTCTCCACAAGCACATGTGTGAAGAAAGGGGTGTAGGATAGAAACTCATTCTGCTTAATATTTCCCCTGATGTCGAGCCAGCTAAAATCCCCCCCGTCAGCTCACATGAGACCCCTCTGACTCACTGCCGTTTCATTCATGAATCATGAGCTTCAGGATATTCCAGTATCGGACCTGGTGTTCGGTAGGATATGGCACTGTCAGCACTATGCATTGTTAAAGTTGAGTCTGGTGCTTAACACAAAAGACATTCCAAGTGGAGCCCTTACAAAAAGCCCTTTGTTGGCTTGATAGGAAACACGATATCTCAAAGCAGGAGAAAGTGAGTAAGAGAGAGAAAGAGAGAATCATAACGTGCATAACAAAGATTTAGGCAATTATTATGAAGGGTTTTCTATTCAGGATATTTTCAGACTTTTAAAAACGAATTTGATTCCGTTAGTAGTTTAAATCCCAGTTCACTCCTTTTCTTCTTCCATCTCCTTCTCATGTGAGCGTTGCACTTTGTTAAATATAACAGTGGGTGGCTAATGTTATCTATTATTTTTTTTGTATTTCATTTTCACGGGGCTCATGAGAATAGTAAAATGCGAGGTGTTTTAGTAGTCCTCGGAAAGACAAGTCAGCGTTTCTCCTATGAGCTCAGGTGTGAGGACCTGTTCCGGTCTCTGTGATAATGCTGAGTAAGCCGGTATTGTTTCTTCTTCAGAGATCAGCTGACCTGTTAGTACCACCAGACATCTGCAACAGAGATTGGTGCTGCAGGTGGGAAGGGGGGGGGGGTCTTGTTTTGTTAAGTGGTGTCATGGTGCAGGTTATTAGCTTCATGCAGCCAAACACAAACTATTATGATTGCTTAGTGACAGCTGTTAAATCAAAGCCAATGTCTTTGAGTCACTGCATTTATGGGATTCTAGATAATACAAGTAATCATAGTGACTGATCAGTTCAAGCATACAGCAAGAGATCAAGCTCGATGGGTTTAAGTGTTTTTAAAGCAATAGTTTGAGACACACTTGTTGGCTTTAGAGTTGGATGTGAGGGTGATGTCACTCTCTCATATCTGGATGTTCATCTGTAAGTGTGAAACCAGAGCCACCAGAGGATTGGCTCAGCTTAGCATACAGATAGGAAACAGGTAGAGTGATTCAACACTTAACTTCCTGTGAAACCACAACTTCTTGTTACATTTCTGTTTTTGTGTAATATGTTCTCAAGTGAGCATTGGAGATGCCGTTACGTAGGCTTAGTTCTTGTTTTTTTTAAGAGAAAGTCAAACGAGCCGTTTTCCCCCTACTTCCAGTTGTTATGCTAAGCTACGCTTATTGATTTCTGCCCTCTGGCAACATACTTAATGCAGAGATATGAGAGTAATAAGTAGGGGTGGGAATCACCAGAGGTCCCGCGATACGATATTATCACGATACTTAGGTCACGATACGATATTATCACGATACTGCGATATTCTGAGTATTGCGATACCATAGGCCTATATTGCGATTTATTACTTTTTTCAACTTCAAATGATGTCCCCAAAGGAAAACTGTGTCAACATGTTTTATCTAATAAGATAAAGTTTTCAGTCTGTTCATCTCACTTCAATCATTTTTATTGCAGCAAAATAGGATTGTCAAGCAGACAGACTGACCAACAATGTCATAAATGTTGCATGAACCTGACAAACTGAACTGTTTGTATTACTACATAGTCCAACTTAACTGAATGCAAACGTGTCTATAACTTATATAAGTAGGATATAAGAGTTATATAACTCAGTATAACTTGCGATGCGTGGACGTCGAGGGCAGAGAGACAGTTATGCGCTGCACTCTCCCCATGAGCCTGCCTACTGTTGGCAGATTTAACCCCGTTGTGAGGCCAGATGTCTCTCTTTGTTTTGACCAACTTCCTACCAATCACGCTGACCCGGGACCTTTGCTGACCTCACCAGAAAATAACACATCACCATCTAGTGGACTGAAAAAGTAATTGATTTGATTTTTCTAAAAAAAACAACCAAATTTTTATTTTTATTTTTTATTTTTTATAGTTTATATAATAAAAGATCGATTCTTGGCGTCCGTGTATCGATACAATATCGCCACGCAAAATATCGCGATACTATGCTGTATCAATTTTTTCCCCCACCCCTAGTAATAAGCCTATATCCTAAAATATAAACATAGTAAGTAGCAAGTCATGCACTGAAGTACTGAAATTGTTGTTGTTTTTGGGCTTTTGGTGAAACATGTGGTAGTCATTTTATACACTAATTGAGGAATTTATTAATGAAAAAAGAAAATCGAAGGGATCAGTTATATTGACAGTAGTTGCTTGTTGTAATCCTGCTTCCAGTTTGTTGGACGGGTTCTCCGTGTGGCTGCATTTCCCCCGTTTAATTTCCAAACTATAAATATGTCCGTTCAGTCCCTTTGCTATTTAAAGGCATCTACAAACAGATGGTTTGCGCAGCCGGGTGGATATTTGGGATCCCAGGAACAACGTCTTGGCATTCCCGCTCCCTTGGCTCAACTCCCACCATGCACCTGTCCCACGTTGTCCATCTGGGTTATTCGACAATTATTGTTGTCCAATTCCAGGCTGCTTTGCGTCCACAAAGTCATTCCCTCTGAGAATTATGAACTCTTGTTTCACTTCCCTTCAGATCTTAACGGGGCTTTTTTTGGAGCTTATACACCTTACTTCCCTCTGCCAACTTCTCTATTTCCTCCCGCCCACACTCATCCTTCCACTGATGTGTGTTTTCTCTTCCTCCCTTTCCTTCTTTTTCCTCTTTCTGCCAGGCTCAAGACAAGAAGAAGGCCCTGGAGGAGACCAAGGCCTACACCACCCAGTCTCTGGCCAGCGTGGCCTACCAGATCAACGCCTTAGCTAACAATGTGCTGCAGCTGCTGGACATCCAGGCCTCGCAACTGCGACGCATGGAGTCCTCCATCAACCACATCTCCCAGGTCAGGTACACACCACAGTGCTGGAAGACACTCCGACCCTATTGCATTCATGTAAACGCATAATGACCAGGGGCCTTTATTTACCCATCTGCAAGGAGAGCGAAGCCTTTTTTTTTGACAAAAGCCTAAAATTACACTTTAGTGAATCTACATTTCCACACAAGACACGTGACACTCACCTCCACCTTTCACCTCAAACAGAAGAACGGTTTATATTTACAAATTATTTCCATCCGTAATGAGGGACATTGGTGGATCAAGGTGTGTTTTTTTGAGGATTGTCTTCTGAAGCTTAAACCTATTGGAGTAGAAAGCTGCTGGTATTATCCTGTGTCATAGTGACGGGGACACAGTCACACTTTAGAAAGACGGACAGACACGGCGGGGCCGTGGATCACGCTGGAGCTGCCAAACCTCCACAGCCCCTTTTCAGTCCCTCTTGCTTCATCAGCAGTCCTCTCTCTCTCTCC